AGACACATATATGAAGATGGTAAGATCAGAGAAAGATCTCTTCTGAACGTAACAGAAAATGAAGGAATAGTACCGTTAACACCCATATGTGTGTTGTCCATCAAGATGATGATGACCACTCTTTTTTATCAAGTATGAGTACGAAGATGACTGATGAGGCTGATGCGGGCTCGAAAAGTTCTTGGACAATGAGGACAGGGAATGAGCGTTGTGCCAGGGATGGGATCTCCTGCAGTCGCCTTTATGTGCATCCTTTTCTTAATAAGTCTTGCTGTTCTGTTTGCTTCACATGTAGCCGCGCCCTTGTGTAGAGCTGCACGCGATGCATTTCGATCTTGAGAGGCAGCCTACCAATTGGTGTCATTCATCCCAAATGCTTTGATCGAAGACTTCAAGATGTCCTTAAAGCCTTTCTTTTGCCCGCCTTGGGAACGTTTCCAATTTTGCAGCTCACAAAAGAAGAGTTTTTTTGGGGAGCCTGTGATCTGGCATGCCTGCCACATGACCAGCCCAACGAATTTGATACTGCATCAGTAGAGTGTGGATGCTGGGCATGGCTGCTTTCTCAAGGACTACGGTATCAGGTACTTTGTCTTGTCATCTGATATGCATAAGTTTTCTAAGGCAGACTGTGTGAAAGTGGTTTAACTTTCTGACCTGGCGCTGGTATACAGTTCATGTTTCGCATGCGTACAGCAGTGTATGTAATACAACTGCTCTGTATACTTTAAGCTTTGACTGCAGGGTTATGCCACTTCTGCTCCAAACATTTTTATACAATCTGCCAAAGGCAACGCTATATATACATACGAGGAACAGCCTAGAATAATTTTACAAGAAGTCAGTGAAGCAATCGGGTGCAGTCCACACACACACACACAGACACACACACACACACATACACACACACACACACACACACACACACACACACAAGGGCCGCTGGTGTTAATGAAATTACAACTGCGGTAATACAGGTCTGTGGAGAAACTGGAGTCACTTGGCTACTTTATATATTTAGGAAAGCCTGGGATTGAAGAACTGAACCAATAAACTGGCAAAGAGACATTATAGTACCAAGATGGAAAAGAAAAGGCAATAAGCAAGACTGTAACACTTATAGTGGCATCTCCCTTTTAAGCCACGTAGGTAAAATGTTTGCCAAGATTGAGATCTGTTGTTGAACTTATTCTGAGCCCAACACAAGGTCACATTCAGGAAAGGAAAGAAGCTGTACTGACGCTATTTTCGCCCTAAAGAAAATTAGCAAAAAAGACAATAGAACACAGACAATAAAATGAACATCGCTTTTATAATTAAAAAAAAAAGGCTTTTTGACAGAGTAAAACAGATATTTACTATAGGATGTCCTTTTAAAGCTATGGTATAAACGGAACAATACTAGACTGCGTAATATATTCAAAGAGTAAGTGAAAGCGCCATTAGAACGAGACTGGTTTCAAGTAGCATTAGGAGTAAGGCAAGATGTGTTCTTTCCACCTTTACTTTTTAAAATATTCATGGAATATAATAATAAAATAGTCATAACAGCACCAGATGTCGATAAACCGGAGGACTGCAATAAGCTGCTCTTTGCCGACGATCAGTGCATATTCTACAGTGAAAGTAAACAGCTGCAGGACCACTTAAACTACTACACTTAAACATCATATGAAGATCAATACTGAAAAAAAAAAAAAAAAAGAAATCATGAGAATGTGTAGAGAGAAACAAACCATCGTCACAAATATCAAAGATCAAAGTGTAAAATAAGTGCAAGAATGTAAATACTTGGAAAGCATCTTTACATACAATCGTAAAATCGACCCTCCTGAGAATCCAACAAGCCAACAATGTCACAAGTACCAACATACTCCCATTTTTAAACACCCTCCTATCCCAATAGAGACAAAACGACAAATTATACATACAATATTTACACCGACTTTAGATTACCAGTGTCAGACTTGAACATTGACAAAATAACACGAAAGAAATCTAACAACCTATGAGATGAAATGTTTGAGAATGGCTGTGAATAAAACCAGAAAAGATCGAATGAGAAACGAAGTGATCACAAGAAACCAAGAGGCAGTGAAGACCGAGTCAGTTGAAGGACATCTTGAGACTGATAACATCACGGTATATCAAGCGACTGAGCGCGCCCTGGCTCGGCTGTCGATCATATAATGAACTGCGACATCTAGTGGCATAAACAGATATTGACAAAAGAAGAACAGAAAAGTGAATGGGTTTCTTTGGTTTTTATATTTAAAAATAAAATACCATCTTAAATAGAATGTACTTTAGATTTGCTTAGATAAGCTTGGTTAATGACAACGATTTCTCTGTTGGAGTAATCGATTATATGCAACCGAATAAGTCATTCGACATTTTAAAACATTCTGGTCGCATAGTGCATGCAACGCGGCGCGACACAGACAACCACACTCTCAACATTTAGTTAGTGCCTTGTGGGAGAGCGTGTACAGTTCGGAGGAGCAGATGGATCACCATAGTCTGGTGAGATTGATGCTGTTGGGGGTGACGAGAGGTTCTGGCAGATGCTCGAGGCTCAGAGGAAAGACAAGACGGACATTTAATCAGAATGCTACTGGCACCATTAGTATCGGAACTCTTCGCTGGCTGCTGAAGATGGGGACGGAGCGCTTATGGGAATGCTCCAAGTGCTGTGATGTTGGTTCTTGAATCAATCAAATCGAATCAACATTTGTCTGTTTCCCGCCTTCTCATGCATTGCAATGCTCACTTCACATTCGAGAGTTTCTTCCTCTGTTGTTTCTAATCGAAAGCTCGCTCAGTATTGACGCCGTTGCACTGCTCTCTAAAATTCACATACAGCACGGACAATCAAATCTGTATGCCCCATTTTCTCCACTGGAGGCGTGTTTGCTACAAGGTTCTATGCTTCCTCTTCTGTCTGTGTTAATCGGCGATAAACTCCTGCAGAAAGGCCTGGTTGTTCGTCTGTTTGGACTTTATCTTTGTGCCAGGGCCTGAGTTTGTGCGTGTACATTCATTTGAATGGCTTATTCGCGTGCAGTGTGTTGCTCCTTGTCGCTCGGGCAGATGCAGTCCGACTTCAAAGAAAGCTCCCAATTAATCGATTCCTTAAACATGCATGATGGAGAGGCAGTGGGTATATTCTTGTTTTCCTCCAATAGGGCGGGAACCCACAAGATGAAATGTGCTATACGACCTCCATATTATTTGAGACAAATCGTAGTTACCCTGTGATGTTAATGTCTGGAGTATTTACTCCTAAAACACGTCCTCATATCCATCATAGGCTGGGTCGACCTCGATGGGAGTCTGAGCCAATGAGGGATACAAACACATGATCACCGTTAAAGAGTTACAGCGACCCCGAAAGGTGAAAGCTCACAATTAAACATCTATTTTAAAGACAAACATCTGTCATTGCAAATATATTTACGACAGGAGCGCCAGAAACCTGTGTTTAGACCCCTTGACCCCTCCCCCTCCCCCCGGCCGGTAAATTTGACAAGAAACGAGCCATCTTCTTGTTAGGCGTCTCCCTTTGCCCACACATTAAACCTTTTTAGGGGTTGCACACTTGTTGATATTTGTTGTGACTGTATTCTATGGAGATGGCTAATCATGCGATCTTCATGTTGTTGTTTGCGTTCAGCAGCTGTAAACCACGGTGGAAAGACCTAGCTGTTCGTCCGTTTTTGGACTTTGGCTTTGTTCAAGGACCTTGTTTATTCGTACGCAGACTGTTGGTTCATTGCCTCTCAGGCTGATGCACTCCGACTTTGAAGGACGTCTCCAGTTAGTCGTCTTTTACATGTTATTGGGTATTCAGTGGGTCTGTTTTTTTTTCCCTACAGTGAGACCTCGAAACCCACACGGGGATGATCTTCACCTACACACTAGGTATTTTCTAACCCCTCCCCCTTTTTGCAGGCTGATACCTGCTGATTGTCTGGATGGAAAGACAACATGACAAATTCCATATACTATAGAGTATAGACGCTATAATTGGAGCACTGGTAATGGCTACACGAGCATAATGCAGCCTGTAGTTCTGTACGGGTAAGGACTGATTAATTGATTGACGATCAACCCTATTATCACACCGAGCGACAGAGGTAAAAGTGAGAGGATCGACTTCATTGCACCGGGTTTTAACACACATGGCTCAGTCTCTCTCTCTGCAGAACAGCTATCTGCCTACCGAGAGCATCGCACAGAGCACGACCTAGATGGCTCCGACCATCTCCGTAAAATTGCAGTCATAAAGTAAACTGATCGGCGCCGCCATGAATCGAGCCCATGACCTTCTGAGCGCGAGGAAAACGACTTGACCACTTCGCCACGGAGACAAACAAACTGCCACCATTCGGATGAGGATCACCCGGGGACAGGTCCCAGAAACCCCGTTCAACCCATCATCATCATCATCATCAGGTTCCTTGCCGACTGGCGTGGGCGATCATGCCTCTCCATAATCTGCCATCTCCTGCAGCATGTATCAGTTCGGTTGCCGACACACCTCCATACCATGCAACAAGACTGTCAAGCATCTTCTCTCGTTGTCTTCCTCTATCCCCTTTTCCACAGAAATTTCCAGTGGTCACAACATGTTCTATTTTCCCTCTTCTCATAACATGGCCGAAAAATGATGACTGTCTCCTTCTGATGTCTGTGATAAGTTCAACCCATAGGTTGGTTTATATTAGGGCCCCCGGCAATAGCCAGGGTGAGGCTCTAAAACAACCAAACATTTCACCCGACATTGGGATCCAGTATATTATTGCAACACGGGTAAGGAATAATGTAAAATAATTTTCATCAACCGTGGTCTCAATATAGCCAGCCACCTTTAGCACCATATTCATACAGCAGATGTCAGCCACTGCATGAAACCATTTTTATTGGCAACCCAAGAAGTGGCGACATAGAGACTTCCGGCACAATTGGTAATTATTGAGGAGAATATAGATTTGTTTACCATGAGTGGTTCGGGCGAGTTTGGCAACCCTCTGAGGAAATTTAAACTGGTGTTTCTGGGCGAACAAAGTGGTGAGTATCCTTGCTAATGATCAAGTTGTCCAGCGTCCTGCTGTGGCATTCCATTAATAATGGCATAATGGCATAATAATAATATAATCATCTGTCACAGGGCTCGCAGTCTATTCCCCCATTCCGATTTATTCTGTGCAATACTTTCGATATCATGAATGGAATCCAGTCCGGCACCTTTTGACCTCTTTCAGCAATCAGTCGATCAGACACAATCTCCACACATAATAAAGGTTTGCTGCAGTGGATCTCCTACAGCCTACACTACACACCCTTATCTCTAGTTGCGCAGACTTTCTGACTGCTGTTCGTCTGTCTCTTGATGTTGTTCTCCCACTTGTTTTGTTGACTATCTTTTGTTCTCTTGTCCTCGATCCTGATCTCCTGTATGGTTTTAAAAATGCTTTTAATGTGGCAAAAATATTTTTTTCTTTTATTTCTTTCACACTCTTTTTTTCCCCAGACTGTCCAGAACTCGTGTAATGTAAGTTTGTGATTGTTTTTGTTGCCGTGCAGTCAGTACAGCACATTCTTATGTTTATTCCACATTTCCAGAGACAGTTTGATTTTTTAGTTTCCTGTTTATTTTTCAAGTTTCTGCCCCTGATTGAGTACATTTGACAGTTCTCATTTTAATTTGTTATATCTCTAGCTGTCCATAATTTTCACATCTTTTTGAGGATAGTTTTAACCATTCCTGTTCTCTTTATGATTTCGTTTTCACTTCTGCCATCTGTTATTGCATCAAAGATAGTAGAAACTTGTCACTTGTTTTAATATCTCTTCTTTTACTATGATGCTCTCTTTTGGTCTCTCCATTAACATTTGTTTCAGGCTTCTTTTGGGTGTCCACACTTCCCCAGTCTTTTTCTCTCCATTTTAGTGTCTCTTTGGTGTGTTTCTTTGCTCTCGCTCATACTATAATACTAATAATTATAATACTAGTATTTAGTACATTAATATTAATAATATACTAAATATTCCTCATCATCTTCTTCACTTCCTATTTTACTTCTTCTTCTTCTCTTCCACCTTGTACACTGAAGTGTGGGGGGAGCGCTATTTTACTGCTTCACATATCAAAAGGTTCAGCTTCTTGCTGTTCTGGCTACTCTGGCCATAGACACATCGTGCTGTGATATCTTTCCATCTTGTTTTTGGTCTGCTTTGTGCTCTCCATCCTTCTCCTTTTTTGTTGTATGCCTTGTATGGTATAGCATCACAAGGCATTCTATCTAAATGGGGAAACCATTTGGCTATCTTAACGGTCCAAAATTATTGAGGCTGAAAATATACCCTGAGAGGACCTCAGTCACGTGTCACTTGCGGACTTCCGGGGACTATACTGCCACCGCCGAATTGCGGACTTCTGGGGACCATACCGCCACCGCCCAATTGCGGACTTCTGGGGACTATACCGCCACCGCCGAGAGTATCTGCCACGGCGCTACATGCGGCGTGGATTGGTTCTAAACTAGATGGCTGGGACTCACGAGCAAATAAAATGAAGGAAGCTGCAGGAGATGTAGCTGCTGCTCGTGAGTCCCAGCCATCTAGTTTAGCCCCAATCCACGCCGCACGATGCGGCAGGGGAGATACTCTCGTCGGTGGCGGTATAGTCCCCGGAAGTCAACGCATAGCGACGTGGGAGATACTCTCGGCAGTGGCGATAGTCGCTGGAAGTGCGCAATTCAAGTCATCGGAAGTCCGCAATTGACACGTGACTGAGGCCTTGTTAGGGTATATTTTTGGCCTCGATAATTTGGGACCGTTATTCGGAAGATAGCCAACCATTTGATTTGCTGTTTTTGTTTATAATTTATAATTGATCTGTGCCAAATTTTTTCTCTTATGAACTAATTTTTTGTTTGTTTGGAGTTACCATATCTGGCATTCATAGCGTAGAGTTGGAATGAATATGCTTTTATTAGATGTTTCTTTGTGCTGATCAGACTTCCCTGTGAGGATACAGCCTGCAGCGGGACAGCATTGTGAGGACTACAGAAACTCATAATACAGTGTGACTGTTGTTACATGTAGATTGCAGGCACAGGTTAAATGTTTAGCCTGAATAGGAGTGATAGCATCCATACACTTCATCTATTGAGGGAGACGAAGCAAATATGTACAGGTCCAGAATTCCATATTTAAATGAGGCAGATATGTGCACACTTAATGAACACATGAAAAAATTCAACTAGTTCAGTATGTATATCGCATGCAAGTTTTGAATATGTGTTCAGAGTAATAAGGGGATAATTAACATCCGTATCTGTTGAGGGAGTTGAAAGACTTACGGACATTCCTGTTGTGGTTTTATATTATGGTGAGAAAACTAGGTACGGACTAAAAGAAGCTAAGATACAAAATGGCTCCAGGGCTAAAAGTAGCAAGAATTTATTCATCATCATCATCATGTGTGCCCTGCCAACTTGTGTAGGCGCTCATGTGTCTCCACAGATCATGATACCTGGTTGCCTGGAACAGCTCTCTTGATGGTATCCCTCCATGCCAGAGAATGTATTATATGTGTATATCCAGTTAGAGTATGATAGGTAGTGAGCAACCATACACTTTGATATCTGCAAGAGGAGATTAAGCACTTATGGGTGTGTCCTGGGTGCTGCAACATTGTTTTAATTAACAATGAATAAAATATGACATGCTGATCAAAATACATAATGAAAAATTACCCACAGAATATAAAATACATCAGTGACTATTTGTTTTTGTTTGTTTCAGTTGGAAAGACTTCCTTAATAACTAGATTTATGTATGACAGTTTTGATAACACATATCAGGTGAGTGTTATACCTTGTGTTTATTGTATCAGATTTGTTGAGCTTGTTTCTCAGTGCAGATAATGGTAGTCTAAAATGTGCACATATACTGTGTTGTATCAAATGTGTTTAATAATGTATTTGAAGTTAACTATTATAACTTAGTGGTTTTCACTGCATTGTATATTGTATTTAGGGGGAACTGTAGTAGTTGGATGGTAATTACATTATTGTATTTGAGGCGAACTATAGCATCTTGATGGGGATTATTATAATTTTTTTTAAATTGTAAACGCTGAAAGCTATTGTAGCTTGATTGTTATTACATTACATATTTCCATATATTCCCTAATTCCTGAACCAACTGACAGAAGGCAGAAACAAAAACAAATGTAGATAAGAATAAATACATTTTATCCTGTCTCCATAATGGAGGTTAGCTGCTGCCATTCATTGCTGTCTTTGGGAATGTTCATGTGATAATGTCTCAGTTTCTTCCACAACTCTGGTTAAACTGACTGAGGTTTGAGGCTTTGAACAGCGGATCAACATCATGGCACACGGGTAGTAACCCATGAGTGCTCCGTTCTTCTAACTTGAGTCTTGAGTCTGAAGAGCTCAGCACAGTGCACAGGCTGTGTAGCACCGACGAGGATCCTGAAATACTTTGGGTATATTTTTAACTCCAAAATTTGCCCGGGCAGCGCTGTTAGGCTACACTTTTAGTTATCCAGTTACCAAAGGATTTTTTTATGTGCGCAACAATGCACACGAGCGTCCGATCTCACTACCCAGAGACCAGGGGAAATTACTAGAAGTCCAAATCCACGTGAACAAATCCCAGCCCTTACTGGGGATTGAACCAGGAACCTCCAACACTCGAGGTGGACACCATGCCTTGAGACCAGGCAGCCCCCTTTGTTAAACTGTATGAAAGCTATAAATGCAGTCTGTTTATAGAATAGCTAGCCAGGGAATTTAAACTCTTGTATCAGATGGATTGGATTGTGAAATATCACTAAATAAGAGACAAAACACTTCAATAAGTCTATTCATTTCTTTGTTTAGTTTTTTTTTGCTGCTGACATTGTCTAGACTTCTGACTGGTGTATACCTCCGACTGTATTATCACAAGTATCATCTCAGCTCCTTAGCAACACCACAGCACTTGAATCCTGTAGCTGCTATAAGATCAGACAGAAATTGTTGGCAAACATGGTAAATTTATACAGACCAGTACTGATTCTGGGGCAGCAGATTGAAATCACAGGTTTAATGTCCTGAGCACAACCTGGAAGAATGGCTTCAGTGACTTATCTTATCAGCTGTAGATTGCTGATCTGAGCCTCAGCCTGAGACTGCCAGCGTGTTTTGATTTAGATTTGATCTTGGCTGCCTAGTTGTTCACAAGACATGGTAGATAACCAAAATGCAATAGGAGGATCAGAAACAAGACCCAGTGTGAATTAGTAGTAGTAGAAATTGTTGTAGATCTAGTAGGAGAAGCAACAATAGTTTAATAAATCTGATTACATTCATTTTCTGCAGGCAACTATAGGAATTGATTTTCTGTCAAAGACTATGTACCTTGAAGATAGAACTGTAAGTACCTATTTTTTCATAATCTGAATGCTCCTTGTTTAACTTCTGTTGAAGTAGTTTGATCGTTCCTGCAATCCTATATGTGTTTTTGGTAGATACTGTGAATCTGCCTGCATCTCGCACTAACGTGAGAGTTTGTATCTGCTCCCATTCATGCTGTGACTGTTCCCACGGATTGTCCTATGTTCTAGGGGTGTTATCATATGCATTCCTTCCTGTTTGACATCTATACACATCGTGCGGCTCCCGTTCATTCGAGGCCCAACATGAAAGTAAGCTCAGCTCTCTTTCATGGTCGTCAACATAAATCGACCAGTTTGTGTTTTTTTTTTGTGTGCGCCAGTTTTGTTTCAATGGTTTGAGAATCAGTGTCATTTTGCTGTGGGCCCTGAAAAGGGCCATCTGAAAGGTGGTGGGGTGGGGGGGTCCAGACAGCACCTAAGATGGTTCTTGGAACAGCATCTGGCTGAATGCAAGATGCTGTGTTGCTGCAGAAAAGCAACACTACTCTGCTTGTCGCTTGCCAGTGATGACAGTTAAAGGCAATTCATCTTGCATTTCAAGTCACCAAGTAAGGCAGCAGAGATAACGATGAAGAGCCAACGCACAATGCTGTAATACACACACTGCGGGCCACCCACAACGGGGAAAATAAAACGTGGTGACTGCTCACCATGCAGAAAATAGAATGCTTACAGCGTTGAAAATAACACAAATGGCACCCCTAGAACATAGAACTGCCGGTGTGTATGGCCACAGCATGAATGGTAGCTGACAGGAAGTTCATGATATAAACTGTGTTTTGTTTTGTTGTTAGCTGCCCTAAGTTTTTAAATGTTTTACTGTCTTCACTTTTGTTGTATTGTTATCATTATTGGCATTATCCCCATTACAGCTGTCCTTACGCTTTAGTTCATCTCATTAATTGGATTTGAGTATTTTAAAACCTCATGCATTTTTTGTGTCAGTGATGTATATGATAATTTGTTTGTCTCCATGAGTTCACATGTTCCACACTCTCCTACACTCCAGACCTAGATTAGCACCTATTTTCCATCATAGTATTTGTATTCATAAACTGATGTATTCTGTAGACTGTTGCAAGAAGTGAGGAATCGTGGTCTATCACACTAGTCAGTAATTCACTTGATAATGATTCCTCATCTATTTTCGTCCTTCTTCTCATGTGTCAATAGGTGTGAATGTCACAGTCAAGCTGTAAACCACAACTCAAGGCACCAACCACCCTTTTAATGGTGAATTCAGAAGAGTAACAAATACTGTTTGTTTCGCGGCGGTGTGACTGCGGACTGACTTGGTACTAACACAGATGAACAGTGCAACAGCTAGCGAATAGCCAGTTAAACAGGAACCAGGCCCCTCATAACCAGAACTTAGGCAACAAATGAACAAACTCAGGTGAAAGTGCTCACCACAAAGGAAGATAAATAAAATAAGATAGCAAAGGAACCGTCCTTGAAAAAGCAGGCCATCTGGCGGCTAAAAAAGGACTAAGCTTGGAATTTTTGTTTGATTTTATACGATACGATACGAGTAACAAATGTTCCATTCAGCAGTACTGATTCAACATTCCTATTCCTCATGTGGGCTGCAGGGGACCCATATTAGAGGAAAGGAATAGTCTCACTGACCCCCTATCAAGCATGTCATAAAAGGTGACTAATAAGGGGTGTTTTCTTTTAACTTAGAGTGCTTCTGCCTGAGAGGCAAGGAACTAACAGTCTGCATACAAGTAGGCCAGATCGATACAATAAATGTGCATGCAAAGCTTGAGTTCTTAAACAAGACCCAAGTCCAGAAATAAACAATCAGATCTGTCCACCGGTGTTTATATCCAGTTAAAACTAAGAAGAAGAAGAAGATTTGACAGCAGTTTTGTTGTTGACAATTCTAAAATTAAATTGCCAGAAGTTTCACATTATATTATTACCTTAAAGCTCCTTTGTTGATCCATCTGGTAAGATTTGTGTGATATTGAAAGACATTGATCAGGAGAACCTCATAATTAAATATATGTGTAAACCTAGTTCCCTTGCATGCATTTATCCTTTAATCATGTCTGATTGGTAGTTCAGAATCAGGATTAAGAACTTACTTTGAATGTTTTTAATCATTATCATGTGTTGTGAAATTAAGCTGAGGTGGTCAATTTTCACCACCTCATACGATCACCAGAATCAGGTCAGATAAGTGTCAATGTCCCGTCTATGCCATCCAGTTATTTATCTTCTTTGTCTTACCCTTGCTCCTTTTCCATCCAGCTTGTCAGTTGTCACTAAGTTTTTGAGTTAAGTTTTTCTCATATTTCTTCTTTTGTCTTACTGCTTATGCTGTAAAGCGTGAAAGAGAGGATTTAGACGTAGTTTCCTGTCTTTTGATGATTGTATAGCTTGTGGTAATGTCATACTGCATTTCTGTATTTTATTTTTATTTACTCCCTCCTCCCATCTATTTCTTGGATGGCCTTTTGCCTTGTAGCCTGCTCTTCTCATGTAGTATGCTCAGGCTGCTGGAGGATTTTGTTCCATTCTGACCACTTGGCCAAACCATTTGATCCTTTGATCTTCTAAGAAATAATTTACCCATACTGTGCCTACCATTGTTCTTATTTCTTCATTGGTGACTCTGTCTCTTGTTGTTTTCCCTGCTGCATTTCTTGTACATCTCATCTGACATTTTGACATCAATTTTCTCAATCTCTAAAAAAAAAAAAAAATCTTGACTGTTGACATTTCATTTCTCTAATCTTTTAACTGTTTTCATCTGTCTGGAGGAAGTCGCCTCATTTTGTTTTTCTGTAAGCTCATATGTTTTGTAATTTTCTGAGAAACCACATATCCACTGCCATTGGATGTTTTTGTCTGCATATTGTTCATGTGTCACAAGCATGCAACAACAGAGGCTCCATATAACACTTTTAACACTTTTGTTCTCACTGCAGTTTTAACATCTCTTTATTGGTTGTTACTTGCCAAACAGATCAGGCTGCAACTGTGGGACACTGCAGGTCAGGAGAGGTTTAGAAGTCTCATTCCCAGCTACATCCGGGATTCGTCTGTTGCCGTAGTAGTGTATGACATAACAAGTAAGATATGGTCGTTGTTGATGTTATTGTTTTTTTCCCAAGTTCTCTTGATGCATGGGTAAATGTTAACAAATGTAACACATTCATATGGCTGCAGATGTCCTCTTCCATGTCTCCGCTTTGAAACTGTAGAAGAGCTAGGCGACCTCTAGATAAATGTCAGTAAAAGTATATCATGTTTTAGGATATTTTATCATTTTACGCTAAAGCATTTACAAACCTTGCTACTAAGTAGTAAGGTTTGATTACCTCAGTGACTGGTTTCAAACTGGTTTCAAAATAATGTACCTTTCTTGTGGCTTTCAGACACTGGTACAAGATTCTTGCTGTGGAAAAGATAACGGCCCCCACCACTTAATACTCCCATAGGCTATCCTCCTAATAACGGTCCCAAATTATGGAGGCCGAAAATATACCATAAGAAAGCCTCAGTCACATGTCAATTGCGGACTTCCTGCACCGCCGAGAGTTTCTCCCACGCCGCTACGCGCGGCATTTAGCAGGGCTAAACTAGATGGCTGAGACTCACCAGCTAATAAAATGAAGGAAGCTGCAGGAGATGCGGTAGCTGCTGCTCGTGAGTCCCAGCCATCTATTTTACCCCCGCTTCACGCGTAGGGGTGTGGGAGATACTCTCAGCGGTGGCGGTAGTCACCAGAAGTCCGCAATTTAAGTCGCCGGAAGTCTGCAATTGACATGTGACTGAGGCCCTGTTAGGGTATATTTTAGGCCTCGATAATTTGGGACCGTTATTTAGAGGATAGCCCTCTCATAAACAGCAGTGGGTTCACTGTAGCCAATTTTCTTTATGGAGTTAGCAAACATTTGTTTTGGAATGAAAAGAATATTTTTCACTCTCAGTCTGATGAACATTGTGAAATTGCAATTAAATATCTGTAACTCACATACTCTGTATATAAATCCTTTGATTCACCAAAACTTGGTAACAGTATTTATTGCATGTTTATTGAAATATTTATCTCCATGATAAGTCACAAATTTGCAAAAGTTAGGTGCTACATTTTTGAAATAGTTGGATTAAAAAAAAAATGCTTGAGTTTGTTTGTTTCTTCTTCTTCTTCTTCTTCTGCTGCTGCTATCTTTGCATGAAATTTTTCTAATTAATTAAATCCTTTCAGATGCAAATTCCTTCCACCAAACATCCAAATGGATTGATGATGTTAGAACAGAGAGAGGCAGTGATGTGATAATCATGTTAGTTGGGAACAAGACAGATCTTGCAGACAAAAGGTACATTTTCTTACTTCATTTGATAACAGTCAGTCTTGTAGTTACAAAGTTCATTTTTTTGCTCAAGATATGTTTCTTATATGTAAGTCACCTTTACCAGAATTTGTCTTGCTTGCAGACAAACGTTACTTTAACAATTGTAATAGTATGATGATCTTGTAGATAAAAGGTAATTTTATCAACTATAAAAAAAAAATTGAGAAAATCTTGCAGACAAGGCAGTTTTACGAACTATGACAAAAGGGCGGCGCCCCTGGCTTAGGCATTGCGAGTCCAACTGGTAATTCCAACATACCACGATCGAAACCCCCTTTTACATTTCAGTTATTTAATTTACATTTGCTCCCATTTCAACCTGTTAACAACAGATTGTTATTGAAGCATTTTATTGCTATTTCTCCAAGAATAAGTAAACAACATATGATCATGGTTCTTCACACAGTGAAGACACAACTGTGATGATCAGCAAGACCGTATATATGTATGTATGTAAGTTGTTCCCCACCAGTCACTAGCGATAAACACCCAGTGACACAAGTGCCACCATACAGATGAGGATCATCCAAGGATAGGTCCCGGAAACCTTGTTCATATTTCAGGCCCGGCTATATTTAGGGGCGCCAGCTAAAGCCAAGGTGGGGCTTCAAAATTGAAAAATTTTATTTTAATAACTAATTGGAAACACAAAGCAAATTCTTTTGATTCTTCTTTCTTAGTTGTATAAACAAAACATGGTAGATGTTAAGTTGAAATATAGAAAAGAATACAAATGGAAAAATTGTCATCCGCAGCATGTGAATTATTATTATATACTGTCAGTTGTCTGATATTTATAATTGACCTTGGCCAATTATTGTGTGCTCACTTGTATGATTTATGCTGCAGGTTTGCCTCTTCTACCATCATCTCCATACTGTTTAAAAATATTCTTTGTTTCATCTAGGCAAGTGTCGACAGAAGAAGGGGAAAGGAAAGCGAAAGAGCTGAATGTGATGTTTATAGAGACTAGTGCCAAGGCTGGATACAATGTGAAACAGGTAACATTCTTTTACATGTGGACTTATTCACTAAATAAGTATCTTACCTGAAAGACAAGGAACCAATAGTCTGCATAAAAATAAGCCAGATTGTAAAATAATTATGCATACAAAACTCAACATTTTGGAACAAGATCAAGTCCGGAAGTTGCGAACAAATAGAACTTTCTGCTGAAGTTTACAGCTGGTGAATGCTAAAAAGAAGAAGATATCCATACACCAATGTAGACAGGGATATGGAGCTATGCTTTTTGACTTAAGTTTCGGTGTGTGTTGCATCTGGCACGGCATTAATGGCATCTCTCCTGCCCAGTGCTGCACCAGTCATGGCATTAATGGCATCTCTCCCATCCAGTGCTGCACCAGAAATGGCATTAATGGCATCTCTCCCATCCAGTGCTGCACCAGCCATGGCATTAATGGCATCTCTCCCATCCAGTGCTGCACCAGTAATGGCATTTATCTCTCCCATCCAGTGCTGCACCAGTAATGGCATTAATGGCATCTCTCCCATCCAGTGCTGCACCAGTCATTGCATTAATGGCATCTCTCCTGTCCAGTGCTGCACCAGTGTTGGCATTAATGGCATCTCTCCCATCCAGTGCTGCTCCAATAATGGCATTTATCTCTCCCATCCAGTGCTGTACCAGTAATGGCATTAATGGCATCTCTCCCATCCAGTGCTGCACCAGTAATGGCATTAATGGCATCTCTCCCATTCAGTGCTGCACCAGTCTTCTTTTTCTTCTTCTTCGATCCTTCTGTCAGAAAACTTATATCAGGAGGCCGGTAGCCTTTATGAAAGCTATCGTGCAATCCATATCCTCTTGTGTACCATACAGTTTTGTCTTCATTGTGGTTGGAACAGGCCAGATTGCGTCTCTGTTGTCAGCATACAGTTGACAGTGTTGGAGCACATGCTCAGCATTTTCGGGTGCCACGCTGCAGGGACACGCCTCCGTATTTCCTACACCGAAAAATGTGAATATATGTTGACGAAATCTGTTGTGCCCTGTCCTTAGTCTGAATATAATAGACTGTCCCTCTCTAGAGAGATGATGAAGTGAGTCTTGGGGAGAAAATCTGTTGTCGGTATCCAGCCACCTTTCTTGGATACTAGATTGTATTAGTGTTTTCATCTCTTGGTGGGTCAAGTCACTATTTGGTTGTACCATGTCACTGCCACTTCTGGCCAATCTGTCCACTATTTCATTGCCTTCCAAGCCACAGTGACCTGGAATCCACTGCAGTACAGATTGTTCTACTGAAGAGCCTAAGTAAATCAGCTGTTGCGTCAAGTCTACAAACTGAGTGTCTTTTGGGTTAACAATTGCTTGTAGAACTGACATAGCATCAGTCAGAAAGACCACTCTGCTATATTTGCTGTGCTGTTTTCCATTCAGGAAAGAACATGCTGCTAGAAGTGCTTCTGCCTCTGCTCTGCTGAATTGGAGGAATATGAACCTGTTGGTACAGCCTGGTTGATTAAAACCATTTGGGCATTCTATGTATATTCCTCCTCCTCCGTCTCTTACTGCTCTCTTGGCTGAACCATCTGTATACACTCGAATCCAACTCTGGTGTGGGTAAAGTCTATTGATCTCTCCTTCTGTAGTTGATTTCATATCAGTGCTGCTCATTGATGATTTGGAGGAGACCCCTGTTACAGTGGTTCTGACTGTTGGTAGGCTATCCCTAAGCCAAGCGGGGCAGTCGTTGTAAGGTTTAAGTGGAACCATTTGTATTATGGGAGGGAGTTTAAGGACAGCGAGCTTGGCATTTGCGTTCTTAATAAAGCAAGTTCTCTTTAGTCTAGCCTTCTGGGGTTTCTGTAGTCGGCTGTACATGGGTTGTTCTTGAAAGTGGTGGTATTTGGAGAGCTGGGTGAGGATCTTTGTGTCTCTCCTATCTTCCAGATTATGGAGACCAGTAATTGTTTCCATATCTGATATGGGCGTGGGGTGCACCAGTAATGGCATTTATCTCTCCTATCTAGTGCTGCACCAGTAATGGCATTAATGGCATATCTCTCATCTAGTGCTGCACCAGTAATGGCATTAATGGCATCTCTCCTGTTCAGTGCTGCACCAGTCATGGCAAATAACCATGGCAATTGAAGAAGGTGGAGAAACATGATCACCTATGCCAGTTAAGAAGGCATTTGATGGCAATGATTGGAAAACACATCGGTCATAGATGATTTACACTGGAGAACAGCGGCTGAGGACCACCATGCATTGTCTGGTACTCCTGACACAACATGACAAACGTAAGGATAACAGTCAACTCCAAGGTGTCCAAACGTAAATCAAATAACGGAGGCCATGTACGTAGTCTACTGGTGTATTACGAACACTGTGATCCAAAAGAAAATATGCAATAATGTGATATGTGGACAAGACTTCGCCAAACACTCCGAGCACTCGCTAGCTTACTCACACTTGTCTTGAAATATTAGAATCCATATTCCATATTGTCGACTCCCTATAGATCAACAGTATGACCTTGAAAACCCTCAAGGGTTACTTCAACAGATTCATATGCAGTTTCCAATACTCATGAACACAACCATGTCATTCCTTTGTGACTAGCCAGCAGTTTTTGCAGAGTTATCCAATAGATTAAAATAATCCTGCTTCCTGCAGAAATGACAGTAACGCCACAGCACCAGGCTGACATTTTTCCCGTGGAATCTCAGGGTAAATCTTCCTCTAGGATCCACCAGGGTCTGACCACACATCGACCTTCTTGAACTTCTCGACTGCAAATCTCCTAGATTGCAATCTCTTAACAATACTTAATGCTTCTGACATCCTGTCTGCTCAGTCAATATTGCTGTGTTTAAGTGTACATCCACATGCGACACACACACACACCCCTCACCCGTCCCCCATGTATGGAAACTTAGGGTGCACCCTTAGAAATATCCATGAATAATGATTCCTGTCATGGGCTGTGTCTAAAAGATGGCCAGCACTATCATAGTGAAATATCGTCTTCTTCAGTGTTCACCCTAAAATGGAGATAGTATCTTTTGTGGTTTACAGCTAGACTACAGTATCTGTGATTTTTGGCCCTACACATTCAGCTTCAGCAGATTTATAATTAGTTGCCTTTTACTGTTTACTTGTTAGGGAGCTGTGAGTTTCTCCTCACCCCCACCTAATGGGGCTCTGGAACTTACACAGGGAATAGTGAAATATAAATTATATTAGACATCTTCTTTCCCTGTGTAGGTTCCGGGGCCAGATTGTGGTTGGGGGAGGGGATAGACCTACTGCCTCCCTAAGAAGCATGTCCTTAGAGTCGATTAATTCGGTGGTCCTTTGAAGTGCAGTGCATCTGCCTGAGAGGCCAGTAACCAACAGTCTGCATACAAATAACAGTTCTGTAAAATGAATGTGCACACAATACTGACATTTTGGAGCAAGACTAAAAGTTCAAAAGAGGACAGGCAACCAGAATTTTCCACCAAAGTGAACACTAAAAAATAAAAGAAGAAATCTTCATAAACAGTCCAAGAGTGTTCATGCAGTATCATCCTAGGCATCATTGTGAACATCAACCGTGGCAGACATCTTTAATTAACTACAATCCATCACAAAATACAATGCGATATCAAGCATCAGTCAGCAAAGGGAACAGAAGAGAAGAACTGTTGCCAATGACCCTGTTTGTATTGAATGTGGAAATTATACAAATATTGTTGAGTTCGTTTGCTTATTATTAGGTGTTCGTTCGTAAATATCTAAACTGACACTTGAAAACTTTTTTCCCAGCTGTTCCGAAGAGTTGCCGCAGCACTGCCAGGAATGGAACAAAAGGATGATAAAAATACAAGTATCCTTTTCACGTTTTTATTTACTATAGAATGTTTTTCCACGTAGAATTGTGTTCCATTTGGAATTTATCTTTGTGTCAGGGCCTGAGTTTTGCATGTACATCTCTTTTACTGTATTATTTATAGTTGTTCCTTGCTGCTCCGGGATATGCACTCCGACACAGAACACACACAAGGCGAATTGTGTTTGGAGGTGGAATAGGTTAACTGATTTTAAATGTTTTTTCTTATATAAACGGTAATCTTGTGTTCTTCATATTTCACAGCTGTTTTGTTCTCTGAAGGTTGCTGACCAGGGAGGGCATCAGTAATGGTAATCAAATAATTCCCCAGTGTGTAATGTTCATGGGAGTTCATATTTGTGAACAGTACATTTTTAGATTTATTTAGAAACTTTGACTAAACTAAACAAGTTTGGTATGATAACTTGGTTTAGAATCACGATTCAGGTGATTGCATTATGTAACACCATCATGAAACTTCCTGTTACTATGGCAAATAGACAGGTTTACTGATTTTTATCGGGGAAAAGTTTTTGCTTATTACCGTAGTTAGCCACTGCATTTTCCTCTTTATGGCAGACTGAAGGGATGTAGTTCCATCGCCCACCTACTGAGTTGAGTGCTTGTTTGACAGAGATAGCTTGTGGTTCCTTATGTGATTAATTGCATGTGCAACTACTGATTTGTTGTAACTGCTGCTTCTGTCGTCAATGAACTGCCTTGTTAGTGTTGATACTTCTGACGGCTGTTTTATGCATTTAATGTGTTTGTGTGCTGTTGTCTTTGCTAAGACTGTAGTCGGTGTCAAATTTTCCATAAGGGACAGTGATAGACATTCTGTGTGGTTTTCTTTGGTACAGGAATGTGTAACTATGGGGTGACCTATTTGCTATGATGTTGGAACTGTGATGACCAAATTTATCATCATTAAGTGCCTTGCCGACTGGCATAGGTGATCATGCCTCTCCATAATCTCTAATTCGCAGCTGCATGTATCAGTTCGTGTGTTGATACCCCTCCCTGCCATAACAAAAGGCTGCCAAGAATCTTCTCATGCTGTCTTCCTCTGTCTCTCTTTCCACAAATCTTTCCAGTGGTCACAACATAACATGACCACAAAAATGATGACTGTCTTTTTCTGATGTTTGTGATAAGTTGTCTTTGAACACCTGCCTCTTTCAAAACATCTGGGTAACTCTTCTTAGCTGTCCAAGGAATTCTAAGGATTCTTCTGTGAAACCACATCTCCAAGGCCTCAAGGTATTGTTTGGCTTGTCTGTTTATTGCCCAAGACTCACAGTTGTATGTTAAAACCGGCTCTATAGAGCTTGTGAGAATTCCTTTCCTAATCTCCAATAGCATGGATTTATTGCACAAAATTGCCTGATTACCTAATTACAGTACCATTATGATCATAAAATACCTTACAGATCTTCCAAACTTCAGTCTCCAACAGCATGTATCTGTTATGTCACCTTTCCATTTCATACAGAAAGCCATCAGAAATCTACTCTCCTCTTCCTTCCATCTCTCTTTCCAAATATTATCCAGTTGTCAGTGGCAAGAAAAAGGTGAAGAAAACAACAGCAGTAGAATCCAAATTTCCTGAGACAGATGTTAAAACTGACCCAGCATTCATCATACGGGAGACTGTAATTGTCAGAGATTACATTACATTTGTCAGTTATAAACATCCCCCTCAGTGTGAATCCAAAACCTCAGGTCCGGCAGCAGGAAGGTGTCCAAGCACTGTAATACATCAGCTCCCATTACCAAATGTGAACACAAAAATCATATATGAGTTTTCCACAGATTCTCATTTTTGCAGCAAAGCTTGCATCATGTTCGCGAGAATTAATGCAGTGGTAATACCTTCTTTTAATTAACCGCGATGAACTGTGTTATTTTTTTACTACTAAAAGACACTTTTCAAACATTAATGCTCTGCGTAATATGATTAATTTATCATCTTCAGACAGGTTCATGTCCATTTAACTATTTTACCAAAAGGATGAAAATTGTCTTCTTCTTCTTGAGTTCACTGGCTGTAAACTCATGCAGAAAGTTCTGGTTATTCGTTCACTTCTAGACTTTCTTGGTCTTGTTCCAGAACTTGAGTTTTGCATGCGCATCTGTTATAACAGTGTCTGACACCAGTGATTCTAAAACATTCAGATCTTCAGACAATATTTAACTGCAGTAACAGTGTCTGACACCAGTGATTCTAAAACATTCAGATCTTCAGACAATATTTAACTGCAGTAACAGTGTCCAAAAACAGTGATTCTAAAACATTCAGATCTTCAGACAATATTTAACTGCAGTAACAGTGTCCAACAACAGTGATTCTAAAACATTCAGATCTTCAGACAATATTTAACTGCAGTAACAGTGTCCAACAACAGTGATTCTAAAACATTCAGATCTTCAGACAATATTTAACTGCAGATGAGGGTGATTCTAAAACATTCAGATCTTCAGACACAGTGTCCAACAGTGATTGATTCTAAAACAAACAATTCAGATCCTCAAACAAATATTTAACTGCAGTAACAGTGTCCGACACCAGTGATTCTAAAACATTCAGATCCTCAAACAATATTTAACTGCAGTAACAATGTCTGACACCAGTGATTCTAAAACATTCAAATCTTCAGACAATATTTAACTGCAGTAACAGTGTCCAACAACAGTGATTCTAAAACATTCAGATCTTCAGACAATATTTAACTGCAGTAACAGTGTCCAACAACAGTGATTCTAAAACATTCAGATCTTCAGACAATATTTAACTGCAGATGAGGGGGCTCCGACACCAGTGATTCTAAAACATTCAGATCCTCAAACAATATTTAACTGCAGTAACAGTGTCCGACACCAGTGATTCTAAAACATTCAGATCCTCAAACAATATTTAACTGCAGTAACAATGTCTGACACCAGTGATTCTAAAACATTCAAATCTTCAGACAATATTTAACTGCAGTAACAGTGTCCAACAACAGTGATTCTAAAACATTCAGATCCTCAAACAATATTTAACTGCAGTAACAGTGTCCAACACCAGTAATTCTAAAACATTCAGATCCTCAGACAATATTTAACAGTTATTTAATCATTTTTTTTAAAAAAATCTTTATAATATACATGCTTAATTTTGTAGTGTATTGGTGTCAGACACTTTGTATCTTATTTTTGGTTTTGTTGCACTGCAGTACAGCATGATCTATATCCTACACAAATGGTGTGTCTTTATGTATGTTATGGGTGTTGCTACTCTAAATAACGTTTTCAGTATTAACCATTTTGCCGCACACAAGTATTAAAAAAAGGACCGTTCTCAACATTTCGTTAAAAAGAAACACATCCTCATATTTCAACTGAATCATCCACTGGTTTATAAAAATGTGAGTCTGGCATCATATGCCAAATACACCACTGGTGAGAATACAAGGACAGGGATCCTTTACTTTACTTATCTTATGAGAGTGTCAACAATGATGAGGGGGCTTCGAATCAGAAACCCTAAAAGTCTGATAGAAATTATAAAGTCATGTCATTTTGAAACTTCCTACTTGTATATTTATAATAGCTATTTATTGATGTGCTTTGTTATGCTGTGTGTACAACCAAGCATTGGTGTTCTTTGTTGTAATGCATGTATAACCATTTATTGATATTCTGTGTTATACTGTGTGTATGACAATTCAGTGTTGTGCATTGTTATGCTGTGTGTATAGCCATGCATTGATGTCCGACTGTGTAAAATGATGCATTGATGTTTTAGTGTGTGTGGCTTTGCTTTAAATATTGTGTTCCTTAACCATTCCTCCTAGTGCATGATGTGGTACTAAAGACTGAAAGCCCAGTGGAAACCCAGACACAAGAAGGAGGCTGTGCCTGCTGAAGATTTGTCCTCTTTCATTATCACCAAGTCTGCTTGACAGTATTGACATGTATTAGCTCCCTGTTCTGAGAGTTATCTTCCCTTTAGTTCCTGTCTGTAAATAATCAATAGAAAGTGGGCTCCTTTTATATGGTCTGTTTTTATTTTTTATTTTTTTTATTTTAAGTTTTTAAAATTATTTTAGCATGTGTAATAAAGTGTTACTAGTTTATAGGTGCAATTGGTAGTGCCGTGAATAAATCAATGGGTTGTCAGTGCAATGATATGTGGTTCAGCTCGCTGTAGAGGAGCATTTGTGTCCCTAGCTAGATACAGCTCTGCAATATTTGCTTCCACCTTTTATTGCTTTCTTTTGACCCTGAGCTAAATCAGGAACAAGATCTCTTTCAGTGCTTTTTCTTGACGCCAAGCTAAATCAGGAACAAGATCTATTTCTGTTCTTTTTCCTAACCCCAAGCTAAATCAGGAACAAAATCTCTTTCAGTGCTTTCTCCTGATGCAAGCTGAATCAGGAACAAGATCCCATTCATTTTTTTCTTCTGATACCAAGCTAAATCAGGAACAAGATTTATGTCAGTGCTTTCTTCTGACCCTAAGCAAAATCAGGAAGAAGATCTGTTTCAGTGCTTTCTCCTGACCCCAAGTGAAATCAGGAATAAAATATCTCCTATTTCAGTCCTTTTGACCCAGAGCTAAATAAGGAACAATATCACCTATTTCAGTCCTTCTGACCCCGAGCTAAATCAGTAACAAAATCTCTTCCAGTCCTTTTTCTGACCCCGAGCTAAATCAGGTACAAGATCTCCTATTTCAGTCCTTCTGACCCAAAGCTTAATAAGGAACAGGATCTTCTATTTCAGTCCTTCTGACCCCGAGCTAAATCAGGTACAAGATCTCCTATTTCAGTCTTTCTCCTTACCCCTAGCTTAATCAGGTACAAGATCTCCTATTTCAGTACTCATGACCTCGAGCTAAATCAGATACAAGATCTCCTATTTCAATCTTTCTGACCCCGAGCTAAATCAGGTACAAGATCTCCTATTTCAGTCCTTCTCTTTACCTCGAACTAAATCAGGTACAAGATCTCCTATTTCAGTCCTTTTGACCCCGAGCTAAATCAGGAACAAGATCTCCTATTTCAGTCCTTCTCCTTACCTTGAACTAAATCAGGTACTAGATCTCTTATTTCAGTCTTTCTCCTGACCCCGAGCTAAATCAGGTCCAAGATCGTCTCTTTCAGCTCTTTCTGCTAACCCCATCGACAGATTTATCAAGAACATGACCGATCACATCAGTGCAGTTCCATGAACTGATTAATCTCAGCGGCCAGGATAGTTATTGTTCATTTAAAATATCTCATTATCAGTCATCTGAGAGGAAAGGTGATTTTAAACATTCCAGCAGTAAAATAGTTTGACATGCCTCTGTGGGTTCCAGGGTCCCATTTTTAAGGTTTAAAAGAAAAAAAAAGAAATAGAGCCACCATCCCCTAACAAGTATGGCATACAAGGCATCTAATTAAGGGCTTACTAAAATTAGATGTGTTTGGCCAAAAGGCATAGATATCACAGCCAAACTGTAAACCACTACGCAACATGCCAACTTCCCTTGTGAGGGCAGAAGAAAAAGCAGCACAGAAGAAATGGTATACTTCTCATGCATTCATCTGTGGTAAAATGTTGTGAAGGTGATTGTGTTTTTTTAATGTTGTTTCAATATTTTTTGTTTTAAACAAAGGAAATTTTGTTTTTTTGTATTTTATTGTATTTTATTTTGTGGCATGATCACTTGTATGTATAATAATATATTTTTGTATCTGCAACCAAATAGTAATGTAATGACAGATGCAGATATTCTTTGTATTTTGTCCATGAGCTCCCCACTGGTTATGTATTTATACATAGTATTGACTGAAGATTAGTTTTTAATTTACTTTAGTTTAGTTTTAGTTGACGGATCAACATCATGGCACACAGGTGTAACCCATAAGTGCTCTGTTCTACTTCTATCTCAAGCCTGAGTCTGAAAAATCTCAGCGCAGTGCACAAACTCAGTTGCACCGGCGAGATCCTGAAATACTTTGGGTAGATTGACTACAAATGTTGCCATGGCAGCGCCATTAGGCTACTCTTTGCAAGTTCCAACTGCCAAGGGATTTTTGCGTGCGGAACAATACACACAGGTGTCCGGTCTTACTACCCAAAGACCAGGGGAAACTACTAGAAGTCAACTTGAAAAAATCCTAGCCTTCACCGGGGTTTGAACCCGGGACCTGCAGCACTCGAGGCATTTGCCATACCTGCAGACCACACAGCCTCCCACTGACTGTACTGAAAAGTAAGAGGGAAACAACCTCATTTTTTAAACATTCCAGTTAAGTTTCCTGATACAAGAACATTTGAGACATTCCTTTTTTCCCTCATTTTTCTTTTGCCATGAGACAGTTTGTCATCTCTTTAATATCTGTGAGGTAATATTACACAGTTGCTTTCATTTACTTTTAAGAAAAGTAATTTCTTCTTCTTATTTTGTTCACTTTAAATAATCTATATCTGCAATGCTGTCTCCAGTATGAACTTAACTGTCTTTTGTAATTCACTTAGTGGCCCATAAAGTTTGGCTTCAACCAGTGTCTCTCTTGGCAAAAAGGTTTGTCTGGAAATCTTGTATCTGGGACTAATGTCTTTTTTTTTTGCTGTTATCCTCTACCTTCTTGTTATAGTCCAGGACTAATCAACTAAGTTTGCTCAGGGGCCAAAATGGGGATCATCACAGACCAGCAGCCCGAGCCCCAGGGTAGAACGATTAGTATTAAAGTACAACTGGCAATGATTTGCGGGCCACTTGCTAGGCCTCTGTAGACCATATCTGGCCCGCAGGCCGCCAGTTGAAGGCCCTGATATAGTCCATGCTTTTAGTGTTGGAAGTCATGTCTGTTCATTGCCTTCTTTCTCGTGTACTTTCAGTCACTTCCACTTCTGACACAGATGTTCCTCTGTGCCATGATGCCAGACTGTCCAACATCTCTACTATTAGTTTTCCTATGCCTCTCTTTCTCTCCAGTTTTGCTGTTGTGACAGTGTACTCCAGTTTTCTCCATCTCACGATGTGACAAAAGAATGTAGACCATCTCTATCTGTCACATTCAGTCAATTCTCTTCATGAATGAATGTCTTTTAAAACATCTTCACTATATCTTTTTTTTTTTTTTTTTAACATGCCTATGATTTTCTTATCATTTATCTAAAAAAAACAAAAAACAAAAAAAAAACATATCTATAGCATTCACATAATGTTTCATTAATAAGCCGATTTTCCATGATTCCTCCATACATCAGCACTGGCTCAGCATAGCTCTTAAGAACTCTCTATTTCTTCTGAACTAATAAAGATAGATTGCACAAGTAGTCTTTTGTAAAGCTGATATATTCACAGCAAACTTTGAACATCCTATTTCCTGTTCCCATTTCCAATTTTACTGTTCCGATCTCCTATTACTCCATTTGTATTTCCTATTTGAACCTCCGTGAAAACAAAATACAGAGGTTCTGGGAAGACTTCAAATTAAAAGAGAGTTGCTGAAATAAATAAAAATAGTTGCTAAAAGAAATGAAGTGAAGACTGTTGCAGAAAGAAGTAAAGCGAGACAGTTGCTGAAAGAAAAAAAGCGAGACAGTTGCTGAAAGAAATGAAAAATAGACAGTTGCTGAAGAAAAAAAAGCGAAGACAGTTGCTGAAAGAAAAAAAAGCGAGACAGTTGCTGAAAGAAAAAAAAGCGAGACAGTTACTGAAAGAAACAAAGACAGCTGCCGAAAGAAATTAAAAAAAAAAAAAGAAGAAAAAAGAGACATTTGCTGAAAGAAAAAAAGTCAGTTTCTGAAAGAAATAAAAAGAGGCAGTTGCTGAAATAAATAAAAAGAGTTGGTAAAAGAAATTAAAAGAGACAGTTGCTGAAAGAAAAAAAAGTCAGTTTCTGAAAGAAATAAAAAGAGGCAGTTGCTGAAATAAATAAAAAGAGTTGGTAAAAGAAATTAAAAGAGACAGTTGCTGAAATAAATAACAAAACAGACAGTTGCTGAAATAAATAAAAAGAGACAGTTGCTGAAAGAAATAACAAGAGACAGTTGCTGAAAGAAATAAGAAGAGGGAGGTGAAATTTTTCAACCACATTCAAACACAAAACACTCTTTTTTTTTTAAAAAAAAAGCCACACTGTAGTGAAAAATTGAAGGCAAGAAAACAAAAGGTAGACAGTAATACAGGTGGGAGGAAAACATCAATATATGTGCAAACAGCAGTCTGAAAGGGTTTACAATTCGGACCCAAGACAGAGGGGGTTGGTGATCCATTGCAGCTAACTTTTATTGGGGAGATGGCACCTGATTGATTGATTTGAACTTTTTTACCATAAATATGTCAGGCAAATTAGGTTAAATCTAGGAACTGTTCTAGGTTTTACTGGGTTCCAAATTATAATCTTCAGTCATCCATTCTGAAAACAGTTGTTTGTCTTGTCAAGACATAATTGTCTGAAGCTTTTGGTGTCTAATCTGTGTGAAATCAATGCCAACCAGTACATTTTTATTTATTAGTTACTGTGATTGCTTTTCTTTCATAATATTTTCCCTACCACATTGTTAAATGGTAAATTAATGGAGTTAATGACCAGTTCCTGCAGTCTGAGGCGGATTGACCATATAGTGCTAATGCCTTGATATTCATAGACCCGCTGGCATGTGAAAAGTAACAAGTTAACTCAGACTTGAATTTTGATCCCTTGAAATTCATGTTAATGTTGTTTTAATGTATTACTATAGTACACATAAGATTTATTGTTTTTAGTAGATCATCTGTTGTAACTCTTACAGTTTTGTTTGTTGTTGACAATGACCTTAGTTAGGATTGACCTCGGTATGACCTTAAGATGTTGTGAATGAGTTCAGTAGTACCACTAAATATAGAAGCTGTGGCAGCAAAGTGGCTAGATGATTGCCTAATGA